AAAAATCAATCAAACAAACAAACAAACAAACAAACAAACCACTAGATGCTTGGGTTTCAAACAAAACAAAAAACAATATGTCTTCACCTATCACCTGCAGGCTAATCATGCTAGGCTTGTGGCAAATAGAAGTGGAGAATCTTTTCATTTCAAAAGTCCAGTTTCTTCCAGTTTGTTCTATAGATAGGCCCATCACTGAACAGTCCTCTCCATGATTCGGGTCCATCTCAAACATGTCTAGAGGCCAGCAGAGCAAAGCCTTGATTAAGGATCTTTATTGTGGAATAGAGTTATGTGTTGTCTCCTGTCCATCATATTGCTGTACTTGATGCCTACATGAAATGGTTAACTCCCCTCCCTCAGGTCTGTTTTGGGAGTTTGATTCTGCTATGGGCTGTTCTTTTGGATTAGTGTGGAGTCAGTTGGTGTGGCAAGTGACTATGGGTGTAAGTTGTGAGTTCCAAAGTCCCAAGTTCAAATCTCCCATCTTAGCCATGAATTCATGCAGCCCTATATAAGCCATAATACATTCTCTGTCTGTAATACTGTATATTGAGATAATGTTTGTGAAGCATTTTGAACATTTAAATTGTATCATCAAATGTGTTACGAATACTGGGCTGACCTTTTTGTTGACCCCTCTTTTTAGTTCTGTACTCAGCAACAAAGGGTGTAAAAACCTTCCCAGTATGAATTTCCTAAGAACACGTGGAAAGATAGGTATGCAGATGGCATTTGGGTGAAGAAGAATCATAGTTCAGTGGCAGAACAGTGCAATGCATGCAAAAAGGTGTCAAGTTCAACCTGGCATCTCTGGGAAGGACTCAGTAAGAACTCTGCCTGAAATCCTGAAGCCTCGTTACTGCAAGCACTACACTGAGTGGTTTACACAAGAGTAAAACTTTCAATGTCCTGCAATAAGAAAAAATGAAAACATCTAAGGTAACAAGAATATATTCAAAAATAATATGGTGTTTTATTTATTTATTTATTTATTTATTTATTTATTTATTTATTTATTTATTTATTTATTTATTTATTTATACCCTGCCCATCTGGCCTATAAGACCACTCTAGGCGGCTTTTCCCTTGTGTGATGTTATTTGTGAATGGTAATGAGCGGAAGTGTAGACCAACTTGACTGCTACTATTGGTGTTGTCAACATTTGGGCTGCCCTTTGCTATATAAAGTTTGACATGCTTTTTCGTGTTGGCAATGTGGGCAGGAACTCCAGACCATTTCCTGGCTTTTTCATGGGTACAGAAGCACAATATCCCACATTCATAAGGGCTTAAAAAAATCTATAGATGGTGCAGAAAATGAGATCTGTCATGGCTATAGTTAGATTCAGATTTAATAAGCTACATTGTGTTGTTTTTGTCACCACTCAGCACAACTGTGCTCATCTTTGAAATCTAATTACAAGCAAGGAAAATTAAATGCCAAAATTAAGATATTTGATGTTATCTGCAGTGTTTTGTCTGCCAGCTTCACTCCCTTCTGCTTTAGAGTAGCCTATCTTTTTTCATTGTAGCCCCCTTATACTGATGTTTCTGAAACCCATGCAGTCTACTCTAAGTAGATATCCTATGCTATTAAAAGAGTAGGGATTTGAAGCATTAGTCCAATTATCCTGAGAAACTCAGTTGTAGTTATTTTTCTTGCTATTACTGCAGTGCTCATCAGTTGGCCAGGTCTTAAATAAAACACATTAGCATTTTACAAGCAGTTTGCTCACTGCATTGAAAATGAAGTCTGTCACCATATTTTATTTATAAGTAATTTGCTGCTCTCATACAGTGTTGTTTTTGTAGTCTGCTGCGTGTTTCCATGATTTTTTTTTCTTCAAAAGAGATAATAAAATATCTTTTAAAAATATGTCAGTATTTTCAGGCTCCTGTTAAAGAACATTAAAGTAAAATAGCTTGGAGGGCCCTGGACTGGCTTCATTGCTTTGGCTGCTCCCCAATTTGAATTTTTATCAGGAAGGTTTGAATTTCCTATGCAGTGAGGTACAAAGTTAAATAAAATGAGATTGAATTTCCTTTTTACCTACTCAGAAATGAGTTAAGAGAAATTGCATTCAGACTGGTGGTAGATTTATTTGTTGGACTCGCAGTCCAAGAAAATAATACAGGAAACATGATACTGACAGAATCATCAGAAGTTGAATGCTTAGTTTATTGCTTTTATTCCCCAGTCCTAACCCTATTAAATTACAAGTACTGTATTTTTTGCACCATAAGACTCACTTTTTTCCCACAAAACAGGGGTGTGGAAAGTCTGTGCGTCTTATGGAGCGAAAAATACGGTAAATCCCAGTGATCCCAGTCAGAGTAGCTTCCAATGCTCAAGACTATAGACAAGTAGTTATATTTCATATTGTCCGAGGAGGCCAAAGTGTGACCTATTCTCTTTGAAATGTCCTTAATTTTATTAACTGGAGAAAGGAAGAGAGACAGACAGAACACATTTTCTTTTGCCCACTACATTGTGTATACATCCAAAAGGGAACAGTTATCCTATAGATGTAAACCATGGTTTAAACTGGTTTAGTGATCTTGGTGTCTCTTACTCATAAACTCCTCAATACACACTCACACTATTGGCAGTTGCAGAATTCACTAAAATGCTTTGGGTTTTTTTTATCTTTTTCTGTTACAATCTTCTAAGCCCCGGTGTTCTAAATGGGGAAGGGGTTGGAAGTGTTCCTTGTGATACCTAAAGGATAAATTAAGATGTGGTAGCTTACTGATGTATTAGCTTAAATGGATTTGAACAGGATTATCTGTCTGGATGGATGAAAACT